AATATTAAACTTTCAGTTAGTCTACGAACTTTGTTTTTCTGTGAAAACTTTCAACCACCGTCAATAAAAAAGCAAAATAAATATGGCAGGATCTTTGCGTTGACATTGCAGAAAAACGMATTTTCTGGACATGAAAAGAGTTTTCAGATGCTTTTGGCAGGTTCTRATTATTGTTTCTGATACGACGTCTGACATAATGTGCTTTCTTATTTCAGGCAAATAAACAGAATTGAATTATTTCAGGAGCAAGAAAAATTTAATCATTTTCTTAATAATAAAAAGTTTGTTTTTGATTGATAGTAATCAACGGATTCAGTTTAGCYGACATCAAAATCAGTCCTTTACAAAAACTTTCGCACTYCAAACTAAATTCCTAAACTTTGTAATAAAATTTTTGCTGTTGAATAGAAGACAATGAGCTTCCTGCTATAACTCTGGATTGTATTTTTTGCAAAAAAAGAGTTGTAAAACCAAATCGTTAACATTGATTAAATTTTAACAACTCTCTTATTACGTGATAWTATTACAGGAACGGCTGTAGAATAATTAGGGGATACAAACTTCTAAGTTAATTATAAACTCTTAAAATCTTGTAATTAGTTGATCAATGTAATGCGAACCAAGACGGTATTTTATGTTTCTTTTTACTAATCGAATGAATTTTAGGATTACAGTGCTCGAGGATCAGGATAAAAATAAATCTAGTTGAATAGTAAAATCTGTTGCTGTATTATTACCAACTGAAGCCTATAATTTCCCGTGTAATATTGCACAGAGTAGAAAGTTTTTAAGAACGTGCTCCCTCATAAGAATCCAATCTAACGATCCGATGAGCTTATAACATAAATAAACAGATCTGCTTCTGTCAATAAATCCCATAAGACTGCATAATTTTTTATTTTTAGCTCCTAGCGTTATATTTTTAAAAATGTATAAAAAACTTCCCGAGAAAATAWGATTTTCTTTAAATACATTGTTTTGAAGATAGAAGAGGCATTTGAGTAAAATAGATTGACGGACTTTGGCCGTTCAAAAACGGATAGCCTTTTTTAAATCACACAGAAAACRATTTTTGCACCGAAATAACATTTTGTTCCTTCTCGCTACCAAATTGAAACAATCAATACCACACAAAAACAACGCTTATAAAACATTATTCCGCAAAGTTATTTAGAGTTTTGACGTCGTGCCATGCAATTTCCTAACTGATTTACATTTATTCTGAAGATTCACCTCGCGAAAGCAGAGATTTAAAAGCACTTTTAGGGCTTCGAGCCGCTGAATTTGGGCTTAATAATGGGATTGCATTCCGGTTCGACTACAAGTGTATAAAATTCAACAAATGGGAATCTTTTGTCGACTTTTTAATCGCATGAAATGTTATTTTGAATTTTTCATTCGTCTCAAAGTTAATAAAGCTACATGATGAATCTTGAGTATTGTACATCTAAATTATTGCGCTCCAAGCTCTCGAACTTTTTATTATTCTTGGCTTGTTTTACTCTCGCTCGACAATCCGTGCCAATTTAAGACTTGGCAAGCTGTAAATTGTTGATTTAGTTACACTGTTATAGACAGTCTGATTAAAAATTACAAATTTGTTTTTTTACTTAATTAAATACGGCTTACAAAGTCGAGAAACTATTAACAAATAAATATAATACACTAACTTAAAGCCGGTTATAGCAGATTGAGTGTAGGGATATAAAAGTTGATTACATTGGAGTCCACATTTCCTGTGGTTTTATTATCAAATTTATTGTCATCCAATCTTCAATCTTGCAATGTTGTACTATTAGAATTATAGAAGAACACTTTTTACGCTTTTAGTGTATAAAAAATAAATTTGTTTGTTTTTTGATATTATTTCACTTTTTTGGTAATTTTTTTTTCGAAAACTATGTAATATGTAATGCTTTAGTATTGTCGTTTAGACAATTAAAAGATCTATCGAATTGCCTAAAAAATTGGGGGTTTCCATTTAAAAAAAATGTCTATGTCATTATTCAAAAGCCAAAAAGTGTAAAATTTGAAATCAAGTTGAAAATTGTGTATTTTTTAAAAAGAAAATTGACCTGTTTGAGCAAAATAAAATATTTTTAGTTTTAATAAGATTATTCGATAATTTTACCGCTCACTGTATATGCCCCTACAATAAGGTGGAATGGTTTGTGTGCATTTTCTTAACAAGCGGAAATCATTTGGGAACATCGTTTTCTCAGTTCGTTTACTGCATAACTAAATACTGCAACAAATCCCATACAAACTCAGCGGTTTCTAAATTTGTAGTGCAAATAATAAAAAAATTCAATCCCCGATGGGTTGCAGTAAGCGTAGTCGTCTGCTAAATTGAATAGAAAAAAAAATTAAAGATRATTAAGGATAATTTATGACACAATCTTTAAATTTATAAATTTTTTGGTTTGATTTTTTGAAAGAGGAAAATTAATTTGAATAAATTGTCTAGATTACGCGATAATATAAATCTCGAGTATTAGCATTAAGATATATGCTTTTAACAAAATTAAAGTTTAAGAGTTGATTCCATCATTTAAATCCTTTGTAATTAAAGTTGTTAACTTTCTCGACAATCCTCACTAAAGGGGCAAATTAAATTTGCGAAACTTTCATTTTATGTTAGATTGCGTTGCTCTTTATCCTAATTTTATATTTAATTAAGCTCCGAAATTGCATGCATATCTGTCGTTATCATTGTCGAGGCAGGTGCTAAAATGAGAATGATTTTCTAGTAGCAACAGTATTCCTTTGGTCTTAAATTGGGTAGAAACCATTTCATATCTAAACAATTTGGGATGTGCCACAAACTAAACATTTCCCTTTATGATAACAATTGGCTTATTAACGTCTTCTATCCAGTTCTGTATGACAGGTAATTAGAAGTGAAGTGTGTGGTAAGTGGTATTATTTGATTAATTGTTCGTCAACGAGCAAATTCGAGTCGAGTTGTACGATCGCTTTGAGCACTAAAGCAGACGATTTTTTACAAAACACTCACTTTTTTACATTTAAATTATCCTGTTCACAATTCCGAAATATTTAGTGTGGTAACGTAAATATAATTCAATAAATTACGCCAAACCACATATTCATTCGATTCTCTCTGATTCACTTTTCGAGCTGATATATTAATTAGCTTTCTGCCAATTGAATTGTTTTGTTTGTCACATGTCATAGATTACAGAACAGTACAATTTAATATTAGCTGTAATTTAATTAAATCACTTTTTTCCTACGAACCTAACAAAAAATAAGTTCCACTCTAATTTCAGAAAGGAAAGTGTTTTTTTTTATTTGGAAAGATAATTAAAAATTTTGTTTGATTATTTTAGATTCTTTTTTCTACTTGAGTAGTAAGTAGTTTTAACAAACTTTTTTAAAACAAAATACACTCCAGGATTTATATAAACAGATTTATTATATAATAATAATGTATTATATATAACTTCAGATTTTCCATTACCGATAGTTCTGTAAGTCTTTTTTATTGTTTCGTCGTTGGTAAATTACAAAATCTGAAAATATGAAATATTCATAAAACCTAAATTGTGAAGTGACGAAATTTTTATAAAAAAGTTGAGACCTTTATACGTATTTTTATGTTTATTTCGTCTCTTGAATCTGTAGGTACCGATTTTTTTATATTTCTGTGCTATATTTAATACTTTCTAAAAAAAATACTCATTTTTCTGAAAAGGCTTTCAAAGACTTTTCACTGTTCTGATTCAAGTTCAAATTTGTCAAGTTCTGCTTATTACTTGACAAACTCATGATTTTCAAATATAAAATCACGTACACCAAACTTATTCATTATTTTATTTATTAAACAAATAATATATTTTTTTTTATTTTGATACATTTTTATGGAGGCACAAAAAAGTAAGTACTTTAAAAAAATAATTAAAACTTTTATTT